AACAGGGGTTTGTGTAATACAGCACCATAAACACACTTCCGTGCGTTGTGTATCTTATTACCTGCAGGTGTCTGCTTCGGATTATAAAAATCATCCTGAATTGGCTGCTTCAAAGCCATCAGATACCGACCTGAATGGTTCTGTCTTCTGGCACTGTGACAGAAGCTTCTGTTCACAAATGTTGAGCTACCTACCCACCTCTTCTTCCCTCTTTGCCATTCATAGAGCTCTTACTATGACCACACAATGCATCAAGCTCTGTGAATGGGTGGAGAAGATGCTGTCATTCACGTCCTCCTCCATTCACAAAATGCAATACACTGCAATAAAACAAGCTCTATGAAGGGGGAAAGGGCACACAGCACAACTTTTGATATTAGCAGCATCTTCTGTTAACTATCACAGCACCGGAAAAAAGCAGTTCAAGACAGTATCTGGCAGCTGTGAAGGAGCAACTGCATGAAGATTTTTAGTAGGTGCAGCCAACTGCAGATAATGGGTTACGCATCAGTACACATAACTAATTTGTTTGGTGCTGTGTCAAAAATATATATAAATAAAAAATAAACTTCAAATAAATAAAAAATAAATAAATTATGAGATTCTCTAAGCTGATGGCTCCTAATGTTATGAATGTTGCTATGCAACACTGTTTCTCTGATGAGACATACTGTATGTCCATATGACTAAAACTCACCCCTATTTAAAATCTTATTGCATAAATGACAACTGTAAAATAAAAGTTTTACATAAGGCATGAAATATGACAGTTTAAAATAAGAACACAGACAGCACTCCACTCCACTGCTGGTAAAACCTCAGCTTACCTCAAGTGATTTTGGTGAAGAATCAATTCTGTTACCAGCTTTATCTGTGACAGAAGCAGTGAGACTTGTCTGACCTAAAGCAAGACCACGGACAACAAAGACAGCCGTAAACTCATCAACCTTCTCACTAAGGGCTCTGTAAGAGAAGTAAAAGACAGAGAACAGCTTCAATATGTTGTCTCAAGTAATGAAACAAAAGTGTTGGTTTTGTATAAAAGTTGCATTAACGCACTTAATAGATACAATGTGTGATGAAGATCCAAGATCCAAGCCCATGTAGGCAAAATATTTTGCAAGGAAAGATTTTTGAGAAGAATCCAGAACCCTCACATAAGCTTTTATAGACTTTCCAATTTCAACCTGTACAGGAAAAAGACAACTGGTTTAATTGCACTGTAGTAACAAAGCCAAAAACAAACAATATCCAATAATAAACAACTCATCACAAAAAATCTTAGACACCGTCATGTTTATTTTTTTTTTAAGACCAAAACATCCCCTGATAATGCTCTACAACCCCAATTCCAAAAACATTTGGGGTGCTGTGTAAAATCTACATTACAACAGAGAGCAATGATTTTCAAATCTCTTAAACCTGTATTTTGTTCAATAGAAAACATAAGAAAGGTTTAAAATAAGAAAACTAACCATTTTGAGGAGAAAAAAAAAATGTCGAAATTGACGGCAGCAACGTGTCTCCAAATAGTTGGGACAGGGCCACGTTTACCATGGTGTAGCATCCCCTCTTCTTTTAACAACATTATGTAGTAAGTCTGGGTACTGAAGAAACCAGTTGCTGGAGTTTTGGGAGAATGCTTTATTTAGGAATCTAGCTGCTCAACAGTCTTTGGTCATCTTTGTCGTAATTTTTTGTTTCAAGATGTGCCAAATATTTCCAAATGGCGAAAGTTGTGAACTGCAAGCGGGTCAGTTAAGCACCCGGACTCCTACTACGAAACCATGCTGCTGTCATAGATGTAGTATGTAGTTTAGCATTGAGAAATCCAACGAATGTTCAGACAGGTGAAGTAAGGTGCCAAGTCATGAAGTGCCTTATAGGTGAGCAAGAGGATTTTAAAGTCTATGTGAAACCTGACAGGTAGCCAGTGCAAGGATTGCAGGATAGGGGTAGTATGGTCACTTGTACCAGACCTAGTGAGAATTCTGGCTGCAGAAGTTTATACACGTTGTAGTCGATTTCTCCAGGTATTCTGTGCGAACGGCAGACATCTTGGAAGTCAACAGATGCCTTCTTTCAGAGAGGCAATCACTGTACTTGTGGATTCTGTGCAAAAGTTTGGAATTTTAAGTTATTTGTTTTAGATCCAGGATGGGATGAATACCCCCCACCATTGGGTTTTGGTACTGTGAACATATTTTCATAGAAGCCTTTGAACCTGTCCTCTAGAGGTACTGAACAACTACTCCCTGGGAAAAGAGATGGTTCAGGAAATTCTGAAAGCTGACTGTACAAATGTTGACTGATCAGAAAGAAGAAAATGTTGAGAGGATATAGTTTTGAACTCTATTTTGTACTCCTCTGAAACCACAGGTCTAAGATATCTGTGATCCAGAGATAGGCAAACAGGTGACCCTTCATTGGGAAGTGGGCTTTTGGGAAAATTCGTTTGGCTTTGTGTGCCAGTCTTATGTCAAAAGGAAGAGCTGAACTTGGGCTTGACAGAAGAAGCCTAAGTAGATCATTGAGGGGCATTGTATTTTGAGCATTACAATACATTTGGCTCCTGAGAGAGGATGTTTTCCAGTTTTTCATAGTGGAAGAAGAACTTTTTCTACTATGACCTCTTTAGTGAACTTGTTAAGTGTCTCAAACCTATGATCTCCTTCAAAGGGCATACGTGAAGTGTCTTTTGCCTGCAGCTTCAACTGACAAGGCTTTGAGCCATATGATTCTGCACAGGTGAATGAAAATCAGAGCTATTCTGAACAGTTGTGTCACAACTTGTTCTAAAGCACTGACACAAAAAAAGAGCACAAGACAATTTTTTGTATTTGCGAAGTTAAGGTACAGTTAGTTAGCTGTGGTTTGGCATACCAAAATTGCAGCATTGGCTGGTTGTAGACGTGAGCCTGAGAGAATAAAGAGATCATCAGAATCTTTGAAAGAAGAAACATCTTCAATTGGTACAGAGATTATTAAGATGGAGACTGAAGAGTCTACTATTGAACAGACTATTTCTCAGTGAACTCCACCAGACAGAGTTTGGCAATGATCTTCAGAGGGGTGAAAATCTTTTCTAGCGATTCTCATAAATTGCCAATTCCATCTGTTCTTGAATAGTGAAATGTCTTTTTTGCTTTAGCAGGTCTGTATAAGCCCCAAAGGGGCATGGTCAGACGGGGGAATTAAATGCGACAATGCCAAGGATTTTGCACATAGCAGAAGTGAGCCTATCCACATTAGCAAGCATATTGCTTGAACCTTTAAAAAAAAAAGTGCATAGGAACCTGGTATAGAGAAATCTTCTGTGGCTTCCTTTAGCATTGCCTCTGGGTCCTCTTCATTTGCTTCAATGTCTGCCTCTTTCAGGGCAGGTATTTCTGGTCCTGCCTTAGGTAGAGACAGTGGTGCTAGAGAAGGAGCCTGGCACTTTTGAGCCCTGAACGGTGATGGCTGTATTAAAGCAGTTAGTTATCCAAAAACATGTGACATTGTTACCAAGAAAAAAAAAAAAAAGTCTGCCTGAATCAGGTAAAGCATGCCTAAAACAGAATTAGAATCAGAAGTAGAGACTGGTGTTAAAATCAAGGCCTGAAGTGGTGCAAGAGAAGCTTTATCACTCTGGGATGGAGTGTTGTGCTGGTCTTTGGCAGGAACAATTTTTGCCTGAGATTTTGCCATGGCTTCCTTTTCGCCTGTTTCTGCCATTGCTATGGGTTAGGATTTTCATGTGGGGTACACACAGAATAGAATGCAGAAAAAGGGAAGCATGTCCTGAAAGGATAGCACAGCAACGTAGGTGCAGACCACCCTGTAGTAAATCCTTGTGGCAAAAGGGCAGGAGGAAGCAACAGAGTACCTTACAAAGAGTGGAAAGTGTACGACCTGTAGTGTGATGTCACACCTGATTATCCACCTGAAACTAAGCTCCGAGTGGTTATGTTTTAACACAGTATGAAAAGTTTACATTGTTAAGTGAATACATTTCAAACACACCCCCAGGTTCCTGATAGCCAAAAGGCATAAACGCACACTTTTCAGGATTAGTGATTACACAAACAGTTCAATAACCAGGATGACTGTTTTACCCTTGTCCATGTCACTGATCTCTCTATAGGTTCCAGGCTTCACCCGTCACTATGGTCTAACCCCTGAAGGGATCTTCAGGGACTGGGTTCCACAGAAATGAACCATGGCCCTGGACCTGTATAGCCCCCTGCAGCTAACTACACTCGTTGCACAAAGTGCTGAGGTGAGCTCCCATGCAGGATCCAGTGCCCGAAGCAACATTACAGGCCATCCCCACGGTATGAGGTCCAGGTATGGTTCCTAATGGCTAGACCAAAGCTACACCTATTTGGATGCAATATTTCTATTGTTGTATTAGAAGACCGTAAGAAAAGAGTTGGTTGAAAATTGAAAGCAAAATAATAAATAGCTCACGGAAGAAGAGGTCCATCACCTTATGACCCCAGCAAAAAACTGAGGACCCACAAAGTGGGGAAGGGTTATAGAGGGGAAATCCCAAGTGGGCATGTCCTCAAAAGTTTACCAGTGTTCAATCACCTGAAGGCACAAGCCTATAACCCAGGGTCTATGAATATTCAATCAGTGTCCTATACTGTACGATTAAAATAGTAAATGGTAACCATAGCAAATATTTTTTATGTTCGCGCTTTATCTGCAAAGAATTGCTGTTACTTATTAGGCAAAGGTTAATAGGCAAACACTGTACATTATGTAGTTTGTACTAATGTGGGCAAAGAAGTATTTTTATATTATATATAAACATACACACACACACACACATATATTTATATACATACACACACACATACATACACGCACACAAACGGTTTTTAGAACTGTCTAAATACATATAGTACTTGCATTACAAGGATAAGAGTTCAGAACAACCTTTATACAGGTCTGAGATAGAAATTCAATCAGCTTACCTTATCCACCACTCTAACTTCCACCTGAAGAATATCGGATACATGAACACGTACTGCAGCTGGTGCTGGGAAAGCTAGACAAAGATCATAAACCATGATGGATATGATCCCTGGGCGCAAAGGATAGACCTAGAATTGGAAAAAGTCACAATCACCTACAGGTCTTATACATACATATACATTTTATTACACTCATCTGCAGCAGGATTTTGAAATTTTAAAGCTAAAGGTGTTTTTATATTTTATGCTCAGGGATAAAAAAAAATATTTTAAATTTGGAAAATATAAAATATTACATTAAATAATTACCTTTAATTGCATTCAGCAACTAACATGCGCTAGGCTTCTCCATATTTCACATGCTGCTTTAACACTGATCTGTTTTTCCGCAGCTTTTGCATTTAACCGTTTTAGAGCCACCCCATAGCAGAAATACTGCTACAGGGCGGGCAGCAGTGTGCAAAATCATGTATATATATATATATATGTGATTTTGCATTTCCAGGTAGGGGGTGCGTGCGCCCCCTATCCACGCCGCCATTCGTAAAAGCTATAACTTTCACGTAATCCAATTAATTTACACGTATTGGTTTTTTTTTTTTTTTTTTTTTAGCAAAGACATACAGCAGAATACATTTTGGTCTAAATTTATGGGGGGTTTTTAGCGGAAAAAATAAAAACCGCATAGGCAAACAAATACCTCCGAAAGAAAGCTCTATTCGCGAGAAAAAAAAAAAAGGACATAAATTTCATTTGGGTGCAGCGTTGCATGACCGCGCAATTGTCAGTTAAAGTAACGCAGCAGCATAACACAAAAAATAGCCTGGACAGGAAGGGGAGTAAATCCTCTTGAGGGTAAATGGTTAAAAAAAAGCAGAAGAAAAATGCATGACCGTGTATTACTATGAAACTCTGTTATGATTCAGGTGCATTTTTTAAAATCCTGTTTGCTGCATTTTTTGTGCAGGTGAGGTGTGGTGAAAAAAAAAAAAATCACCTCTCCATTGAAATCAATAGAAAACCTGGCAAAAATGAATCAAAAACGCACCCACTGTGTTTTTTTGGTGCATTTGAGTCACGTGCCCTGGTAAAAACACAGCAAAAATGCATATAAATTTAGCATTACTACTATGCATATGCATTTAGCCTTACTACTATGCTGTAAATGTGTAACAACTTGTGTAATTGGAAGACCTGCTGTTCAGGCCTTAATTACAACACATAGCTAAATAAATCAGAAAAGAGATCCTCACAACCCTTCCTCTTTTAATAACCATAGGATAGAAGAGGGTTTAATTGCAACTAAGCAGCCAGTCAAATGAGAAAGCAAGAATTAGAGCGCTTTCACACTGATGCAGTAGGGTTTTTTTGCACCATAGTATACTCACGGGTTTCATGCAGGTTATCTGTGCTTTGCCATTGACTTCTATTGTGTTGGGTGGTTTTGGTGCGTTTTTTGAAAGAACACCAAAATTCCCCAATCTGCAGTCATAAACTGCTTCCATTAAAATGCTTACATTTAAAAGAAATACTTCATACCAATATCAAAAATTGTTTAAAGAGCAATTTAGAAACATGAAAGTTTAAGAATAAAAGGAAACAAAAAGGAAACAAAAAAAAAAAAAAAAAAAGGCTTATAGCCTCACTTTAATGCTGGTGAAAGGTACGTATTACATAGATTTATTCAATCATTGTTATTAATACATACCATTCCATCTGTTGGTAACAAGTTCCACACCCCTGTGCTATTTCATTAAAACAGTACTTTCTACACTCATTTCTAGAAGCCATTTAAAAAATATCAAATTAGAGTACAGATATGCATTCAACATTTTAAAACATGCAGTTATTTTACCCTGCCTAATTGCCCACCATGGATGCTTAATCTAATTTTTTTCTAATCTCAAAAAGATGCAAAAAAAACTAATTCTGAAATGATCAAATCTGCGTATTCAACTTACTGTCACAATTCCTTTTGTTTCCTGAAATATTGTTTTGACAATATTGGAAGCGCTGCTGTTGATGTAAAAAATATCCTGATCCTTCAGAGATGGTGAACTCAGCCTTAAATACGAGAAAAAAATATAATACCGTTAAATGAAATTTGTCAGGAAACCTTTACTTTCCTTTCAGAATCAAAATTTTCTATGGGACACTATACTACAAAATACTCCCACAAATGCGGGACATTGATTGCAAATAAGATTTGTAAATTTGCACACACAAAAAAGTATATTTCCTAACAAATGAATTCAAGCCCATGTTGCGAAAAAATGAATATAACCCAATGAAAGTCTTAGGAGCAAAGCTAACTATTTAGACAACAAAATCTTAATTAAGAAGAATTCAACTACAGGTGAGTCTAATTATTCATTAAACAGGTGTGCAGCAGACAGTTGATTATAAAAGGGTCCTGTTACTTAACAAAGAAAACCCCTTCCCATTTCATGCTGTTAGCAACTGCACCACATGGAAGAGAAAGGCAACTGAGAAAGAAAATTTCTTTACACAAGAAAGGTGAAGGATACAAGAAGATCAGCAAAGCGTTACATATCAGTCAGAATACTGTAGCAAAAGTGATACACAAGGGTGTTTTAACAAAGATGGAACTGCCACCATTAGATGTCTAAGCTGTCCACAGAAGTTAGCACTTCGACATGGAGCCATTAGATGTCTAGGCTGTCCACAGAAGTCTTCGACAGGAGCGTCTTCTGATGAAAAGGGTTGAAGAAAATCACCATGCAAGTTCACTGCAGTTAGCTAAAGAAGTAGAAAGCCAAACTGAGGTGATTGTTTCCCATGACACACTACAGCGTACACTACAGAGAAATGGCATGAATGGGTGTCGTCCACGAAGGAAGCCTTTCCTAAAGCCCATGCGCAAAAAAGGCCACCTAGAATTTGCCAGGGCCCATGCTGAAAAAGAATAAGAGTAATGGGATTCTGAAGTGACGAGATCAAGATAAAGGTTTTCGGAGCTCATGGCTTCAAAACTGTATGGCAATGCAAAGGTGGGGAATACAAAGAAAAATGCATGGTGCCTACAGTGAAAAAATCAAACCCTATGGGGTTCCATCCAGCATCCAGGCTCTAAAAAGAGGATGTTCTTTAGGAATGGAAAAAGATAGATGTTGCAATATGTCGCTAACTAGCTCATTCCATGCCAAGAAGACTTGGTGCTGTCCTTACAAATCATGGTGGTCATACAAAATATTAGATGTACCGTATTTTTTTTCGCCGTATAAGACGCACTTTTTCTTCCCCAAAACTGGGGGGGGAAAGTTGGTGCGTCTTATACGACGAATAGAGAGAATCCGTGAGGAGCGGCCAAGGCCGTAGGAAAGGCCGCGGCTTTGGCCTATCTCTGGAGCGGTCGGCCATCTTAGTACACCCGGCGGTGCGTGCTGACGTCATCACCCCCTCTGCTCGTGGATCAGCCCTGAAGACCGGAACGGCGCAGGAACACGGCGAGAGGAACTCGCGGAGCAAAGGTAAGTGAATTGACACAATATGGGGAATGAATTACTATAGGGGGGGATGAATTACTATAGGGGGGATGAATTACTATAGGGGGGATGAATTACTATATGTATTGGGTTCAGAATCTTTTTTTTCTAGATTTCCCTCCTTTAAAATTGGGTGCGTCTTATATTCCGGAGCGTCTTATATGGCGAAAAATATGGTAGTACTTTTTGTTGTGGGGTGTATTCATTTTGGCATCAACTAATTTGAGTAACTCTGAAGAAGATTTTGTCATCTAAGTTTATATTATTAACCTTGCTTTCATGTAATGAGCTAAACAAATGTTCTATAAAACTCAGTTTTGTCAAAATTTTGGAAAGCTGTTCTTGTGTTCATTGAGATTGATTAAAAACTAACTTTTCAAAAGGGGTGTACTCATTTATCCTGAACACTGTACATCTCTACAAGACATAAAAAGGCAAACATGGTTTAATCACAGATTAACTGTTCAGTAATCAAATACAAATGTTAGAAATATTGGCAGTTTTTAAAGCAGTAGTAAACTGTCAAAAAAAAACAAAAAAAAAAAAATTCCTCTGCAAGGCAATGTCATAAATGTGCTAGTATGCATCGCATACTAGCACATTATGTGAATCTTACCTTGCAATGAAGCCCTCCAGCGGCACATTGTCACCGCTGACAGGGCTTCCATGTTTTCTCAATCCCTCTTTTGGGTTCGAGGCCTCTGGCAGCTTGAATGGCTGAGCTGTGATTATGTCTCTCCCGCGAATGCGATTGGGAGTCACTTTTTACGGCACATAGCTTTGAAGCTCTACACATAAATCCTCTAATCGGTACACATTTAGGAGATATTTTACATTACCTACAGGTAATTATAGGCTTACTTGTAGGTACAAATGTAAAAACAGATTTTACTACCACTTTAAAACCATTTCTGGCCTCCTGTTAGATTTGTTGGTCAGCAACTTAACTGCAAGAGATTCAGACGGTCTAACTAACATTGAAGTATAAAAATCCAAGAAAAAAAAAAGTAAATATATTACAGAAGTATGCATAAATGTGCAGTTTCAGTGCATACACATTATATACTATGTGGCTGACCCATCTAACTAGAATGGCAGGATAAAATGCATACATCTTTCTGTCAATACTGTTAAAATACGAAATTAGAAACAGCAAGTACTGAATTTGCATGTAATAAACTTCTACAACTAAGTAACCGGTTTCAATAATCCCATGCTTTTGCTTTTTATATTAGAGATGATGAATAAATCATTTAGTGCTATAATACTGAAACAGCAAAGCTCACCGTAACTTCAGGGTGATTGTAAAGAGAAATGGATCCTGGGTTCACTTTGACATCTTCCACAAGCAGGAGCTCCAGACTGGCAGACACAGGTGTCAATGTTTTGTACTGGAAGAGTGGAAATAATATCAAATGGAATTAGATCAGAAACAGTAACTACATCTTACTCTGTGTTACACACATTAAAGCGAAGTACATCACCCTAAAAAAAAAAAAAAAAAAAAGCCTCTGTGGGCTTATAATATGCTAGCACGCACCGCATATGACAGACTTACCTTAAAAGGAAGCCCTCCTGTGGACCGCTGACAGGGCTTCCATCTTCACCTGGTCTTCCTTTCAGGTTCATGGGCTCCGGACATTAAAATGGTCAAGCCGCGATGATGTCACAAACGCACATGCGTGCAGGAGTTACAGCCGCAGCACAGCATGCCCTCTATTGGGAATGTAGTGTGCATGCGCTGGACATCACCGGTTATTAAAGTAAATATCTCCTAAACATCGCAAGTTTAGGAGATATTTACTGTACCTACTGGTAAGCCTTATTATAGGCTTACTTGTAGGTATAAACAAAAAAGCCAACTTTACTACTGGTTGTAAAGAAGAACTAAAGGCAAAACTTTTTTTTTTCATTTTGGATAGCGTGAGGGTTAAAACCCCGGCCAGGTTTTTCTGACATCTACAATATGTCCCATTGGGGAGATTCCCTTTCACTTCTTGTCCCCGAGCCAAAACAGGAAGCGAGAGGAAATCCCTGTTGTCACCAGAACAATTGTCCCCGTAGAAAGATTTCTGTTCTATTCCTGTTGTGGGGACAACTCTAATTTTGGGATTTTTTTCACGTTCACTCTCCTTAATGGGGCACAGACAACAATAAAAACCGGACTTGTTCTAATTCCACTCTACTCTAGTCAAACTAAAAAAGTTTTGCCTATAGTGATACTTTAATAAGCAAATCTAGTTATGAGGGCATTTTTTTTTATTTCAGCCATAAATGAATAGATGTGTAGTACTAAAACCCTGATTCAAGACATAAGAAAAAAAATGTGACAGGCAAAAATAATGACATGACATTCTTCCTATTTCCTTCATTTGGAGTAAAAGTAGTTGCATTTGATTGATAAGTCTGTGTACAAATACCTATATCAACCAATTGCCTAACATCTATACTGCACTATACTGGCTCAACACATCGTTTAATCCCATCAGTTGCTATTGCAAACATGTTTTTTGTGATACTTTTTAGAAAATGTCAACTGGTGTTGTCCAATTCCATGACGTTTGTTTCCTTCAGGCTCTTTCTAGGATGAGCTAAACAAAGGCAGATGCTGGAAGAGATCACAGCTTTTGGTAAGCATCTCATTCCAGTTATGGCCAACTTCTACATATCCCTTTCATATATTTTGTCATGTATACTAAAAGACTGGAGTGTATTGTTTCATAAGCCTGATTTATTTTCCGTAAATTTGAGGTCCTACAAAGCAAACTTATGAAAATAAAATTCAGGATTGAAATAATGGATTTCTTTTTTTAATTCAGAGAATCCTGAATTTCACAAAAAAAATAGGCCAGCATACTACAATGTGCTACATTGAGAGACTTACAGGCCAGATCACCAGATGAAAATAAAATAAAGCATAAAAATGAAAACAACTGCAGCCATCACATCTACTGTGGTAAGCTGCAATATAACAAATGCTTGCTTTTGGGTTTAATACTGCTTTAATAGTCTTAATTATATAATGCAATCATGTGACCAGAAAACTCAACATTGAAGTTTCAAAAGGTTTACATTTCTAGGTCAATACAGCTAGCTTGTGTTACAAAAATATCTATTTGTATCTGCAAGAACATAAAGACTACATCAAGTTTCAACTGAAAAATCTGTGTGACCATAACCCTAGTTTCACTGTCCTGCAAACTGCACATTAGGGACAATGCTAACAACAGTTTAACAGCTTAAACCTGGAAAATAATATAAAACAAATTGCATTTATAAACAGTTAATGAAATGTAGTTTAAATACGGGCACCCAATTATAAAAATTCACAACATAATTTCCAAAACACCAAGACAGCTTGGGAGGGCCAGTAGTGTGATCCGATGGGGGTATATTGCACATAACAGCTGTCAATGTAACAGGACAGGAGACCACAGAGATTACCTCATCAGTAGGCTGCTGCTGTTACTGCTTTATCGTCTAATACCGTTGGGACTGAGGAGGTGACCAAGTAAAAAGAACTTCAAGGTCCTTTTTTTTTTTTTCTAGCCACCTTTTGAGATCACAGAAACATGACTTTAAGAAATAAACCAAAAGATTTTTATTCTACTTACTGGGGTCTTCACTTTTGCTGCTCGTAGATGAGACTCCTGGTAATTGTTAGTTGTTGTAGTAGTAATGACTGCTGTTCCTGATACTTGATGCACATGAATTGTGTTCAAACCTAATAAATATACATTTCTAAATTATAATGTTCATACTAATAAGAATGTATAACATAGCCACAACTGTTTTACAGTGAATGGATTTGCATAGAAAGTTTTTCAGGGCTGAGCAAGCTGGATAAGTTGTTCACGTTTTATCGTAAATTAACTTTTTAATGCTTTAAACCTTTAATAATTTGCAAAACCATAATCGTGCTTATGACATACAATGTCAATGACCATTGGACAACAGTCCAGACCTTTTTCTCCTAAGCCCAGGTAAGACCCTTCTGGCGCCCCCCCCCCCCCCCCCCCCCCCCCCAGTGCTGCATTTCAGTCCAGCCTCATCAGTGCCTCCTCACCAATGCCCGCTAATGCAGCTCATCAGTGCCACCAGTCAGTGCTGCCTATTAGTGCCGACTATCAGTGCCACATTTCAGTGCAGCCTCACCAATGCCGCCCATCACTGCTGTTCATCAGTGCCGCCTCATCAATGCACATTAGTGAAGGAGAAAAATTACCGGTTTGCAAAATAATATAAATAGAAAACTAAGAATAAAACGCCAGTGGTGAATAAATACCACCAAAAGAAAGCTCTATTTGTGTGAAAAAAATGATACAAATTTAGTATAGGTACAGTGTTGCATGACCGCACAATTTTCCTTCAAAGACATTGAAAGCTGAAAATTGGCCTGGGCAGGAAGGGGATAAAAGTGCCCAGTAGGCAAGTGGTTAATATTTTTTTTTTTACACTTACTAAAATTTTTTCTTTACCAAATTTTGTTTTCATCACATAGGACAAAAAATCCTTTATGTGATGCATTTTTGGGTACAGGTTCTCTTTAATGGAACAACAGGGGTCCAAAAGACCTCGAATGTCTCACCTGTTCTCCAATGAAACTAATGGAGTGCAGGTCATACTTTGGGGAAAAGGACACCAGAGCACAAAAGTGACGTTACACACATCATTTCCATCATTAGCAGGAAGAGGAGGTCAGAAAACGTACCCATACCCTGTCATGCCGCTCTTGGGTCAGCCAATGGGCATGCAGAGCCCAGGAAACAAGGCAATATGGCAGGGGTGCATGGAGGGAGACCTGCAGTTACTGGGGAAGCAATCTATTAGCTGCATAGCATTCAGAATGCTTCCAACTAACAGAAATAAAATAATCTTGACTGAAAGAGTTTAGTTCTGCTTTAGGTGGATAACATGGGGTGGTGAAGCAGTATTAAGAACTCCAAGTCTTAACCAGAAGTCCACCATAACTTAAATCAACCATATCAGAGAGAGTATAATTTAACCCACCATTTCTCTTAAACACAAGATAAAATAAGAACTTTAGTCAGGTGCAAGATGTTTTGTTATAGAAAATAAAGTTAGGTAGCCCAATATGAATGTTCACAAGCAGAAAAAAAAAACTCAGCATGCATTCATAAAATCATTCCCACATACCATGGAGTTTTCTCTGACCGTTCGCATCTTCTTTCTCAAAGTACGACATGGGCTTGTCAGCATCAAAACTGGCTAACTGAACCTTGGAAGAGTCCCAGTAAATGGCCAAGGAGCTGAAATTATCAAACTTTGTTCCATGACGGTCATAAGCTGATAATTGTACCAACTGGTTTTGGTAGTTGGAAACTGGAATCTAAAAAACAAGACCATTTATTATACTTGATTCATTAAACTTCATTACAGTGATTTGTGATCTATAGCATAAAGTGGATCAAGTAGGTCATGATAAGCACTTCCATTAAAAAGTGTTACTAAACCCAGGGCTCTGCATTCACTATATGTGGTCTCCAACAGTACACAGAACATGGAAATGCAATTATTACAGTAAATATAAACTACTAAATACCTTTTCTCATCAGCATTTTAGAGGCAGTATATAGCATACAAATAAAAAGTGCGTTAATTATTCACAAAACATGCAAGGATAAATAATAAAAATAAATGAATTCATAAACATAAACATAAGTCCAGCCACCATAACAGTGATAGTCCAATAGCAACTTAATGTCAGTCTTGAAAACAAACACCCATGTGCAAATCGACGACACCAGATGAAATGAATACACTCACCAGAGCTATATGCTGATTAGATTATAAACCAGCATGATAGCATTTTGCTCTGGGAGCAATGATCTGCAGGATATCCCAGTAGAGGAACAGCAACCAATCAGCACATATGGAACAGCTAGGCAGCACATATGGAACAGCTAAGCAGCAAATGATCTTCCAATAACATGGGCAAAGCTCGAGGAATAAGAAGAGATATGATGGTGCAGTACGTTTAAAACCAGTAAAATTTTATTATTAAAGTATTGCACTCACAAAGAAGGTGTCTAGCCGACACCAGCCATGACAGCCTCTAAAATGCCACATCCACAAGGGAAAAACCAAGGGACGAACCTCCTGCACTGCGATCAAACAGCCGACAGCTGGGAGGAACGTTCCAAGGTCACATCCACTAGGCCAGGCACAACGCATTTCGTCACTTGACGTCTTCAAGGGGCGGAGTTACAGTCTTGTAATTTCTATCAGTGTCCGACTGAGCACTTTTTAATGTCGGAGGAGTATTCATTCACCTCTGACTGTCCTAGGCTGCATAACCCCTGAATCTCTGTTTAGACAGTGCTGATTGGCCCTGTGCCGATCACATACACCCTCTCAAAAAAACAAACAAAAAAAAAACACTCTCTAGTAATACACACTGAACTCAGCATAAACAGAATGATTTTACTATTGTGGGTTTAGCAACACTTTAAGACATGCATTACACAAGACTATGATGTATAAAAACTGAGCAAAACACAGTTTTACAAAACGTTTAAAAAGAAATGTGCCAAGAAATATGCTAAGGTCTTGAGATGAGTTACAAAATTCACACAGATATTTCTTCAATCCCCCAAACAACTGATTGGTAAATGGAATATGTGTATGTGTGTGTGTGTGTGTGTGTAAACACCTACAGCATCTGTTTAGGGAACATTTTCTATTTTGGCCTACATACAGAAATGTAAACTGAATATCATTGAAGTATACCTGTGCCCAGACTGCACATGTTAAAGTGTAACTTTTGCAAGTATAGCAAAGTAAAACATTAAAAATAAGTGCATATGCTGTTTAAAATCCAGTAATACTCAATTGCTGTTTTTCAAAACTGTGCCAAAAATGTAGAGGTAGGTTTGCTGACAGCCTAAAGATTTACTGCTGTTCAGGGGCTTGGGTTTCAGCAAAATGTCAGCCTTCAGCAAAAAGAAAAAAGGAACAATACAGGAGGCAGTTTACAACACACACTAATATTGGTAGCATAATATTATGCATATTGTGCATAATACATATTGATGTGGAATGTATGTTGCACAGAGCAGCCTTGAACCAGCTCTTCTGGGGCCCCCCACCAGTGCTCTTGGCTTCTCCAACTGCTTCCATAGCAAGCCGCTTGCTATCAGGGCTTGATATTGAGCCGAGCCATGTGAGTCTATACACGCGCACACACACACCCGCACAGCTCAGTCCTACCTCCTCCACGCTGGGTTTGACCAACAGCAACAGAAGTCAATGGCTTCCATTTCTGCTGAGTCTCCTGTGAAAACAGGAGTGGAAAAGATCTGCTGCACAGTGCAGTTATGGCTCAGGTAAGTGTTTAAGGGGGGGGGGGGGGGGGGAGTCTTTAAACATTTGAAAGGTTTTACCTTAATGCTGATAAATGCATTAACATTTAAAAAAAAAAGTTTTACCTTTAACCACTAAGCATTAACCTTTTCGCTGCCAGAGCCTTTTTTTTTTTTTTTTTTTGCACACGTTTTAAAAAATAATTTTAGGCCTAAAGATTACACAAAACCCCCAAATAATATATATTTTCTGAAACCACACACCCTAGAAAATAAAATAGTTGTAGTTCCAATTTTTTTATTCACAGGATTATTGCAAAGGTTTCAGTAAAAATCACACTAAAGTGAATTTTAGGGCAAACAAATGCAATAAATTACCCAAATTTATGGTAAAAAAGACGAGGTTGTGCCGAGCAAACAGATACCCAACATGCCAAACCTTAACTTTGTGTGCGCCTATGAAATTGCGTCCAACCTCAGTACCCTATATTTTCTATAGATGACACTCTAAAACCCCTATAGGTCATCAGTTTAGCGATATGGAGGAGGTCTGGTGCTAGTTAATGCTCTTACTCCTGCGTGCTCGGAAATATGTACCATGTGTATCGCAATCAACTTTTTCACGCGTAGGCACCCAAACATGTGTGTTTATGTTCATACATGCGTATATGTTGGGGGGCCTCAAATGTATTTATTTATGGGTGTTATGTGCTTGGGTGTGCCTTTTTGTTTTACAAAAGAAAAAAAAATATTTTCTTACTTAAACTTTTTTTTTCATCACATAAGGGACACAAAGTCTCTTATATGATGATTATATGATGATTTTTTGATGGCAGGTTCTCTTTATTGAGACATGCAGGGTCTTTTAGACCGTCACCGGGGGGCTGTGGAAGCAATCGACGACAGCTGAGCCACCTGACTGCTTCCACCTGACATGCAAAAGTCTGCTTTTAGATCTGGAACTGGCAGCAAAAGACTTAAGCCCTGGTTCACACTGGATGAGACTTGGCATGTGATTTGCATGCCTTGCGACATGCAAATTGCATGCTAAGTCGCACCCTATTGTCCGCAATTGGAGCGGTCATATCGGCGCGATTCCAACTTGGTCGGAGCCACATCGATTTCAAAAGTAGTACATGCACTATTTTTGGTGCGATTTGCATAGATATCTGTATCAGATCTCTTGCAAATCGCACCTGAAATTGGCTCAAAGTGCAAATCGCACTTTGAAATCGTGTGACTTCACTGTAAGTCGCACAATTTCAAAGTCGGGCTTGATGTGAATGGAGGGTAAAAGCACTTTAAAACAAGCTCATATTAACCCTTGTAGGGATAGGAATACTGGAGAACTTTATCCTCACAGTTCTCAACACAGCACTGGAATAGCATCTTCTCTTATTTTGTATGGAGAGCAGAATCTTGGCACGCTGCCAGTCTATTAACAACTAGGAAGTGTTTTTTAAACTTGTTTAAAATAGAGAAGGGCTGGTTCACACATGCATTCCCGCATGGTCCGGTTATCATATGAATAGGCTGCAACACACATGGGAAAACGGAAAAAGTATTGAAAGCACTGCACTAAACCATACGGTACCATGCATTTTGGTGGCCATATATACAGGTGAAACTCGAAAAATTAGAATATCGTGCAAAAGTTCATTTATTTCAGTAATGCAACTTAAAAGATTAAACCAATATATGAGATAGACTCATTATATGCAAAGCAAGATAGTTCAAGCCGTGATTTGTCATAATTGTGATGATTATGGCTTACAGCTCATGAAAACCCCAAATCCACAATCTCAGAAAATTAGAATATTGTGAAAAGGTGAAATATTCTCAGCTCAAAGTGTCCCATTATGATCAGCTAATTAAGCCATAACACCTGCAAAGGGTTCCTGAGCCTTTAAATGGTCTCTCAGTCTGGTTCAGTAGGAATCACAATCATGGGAAAGACTGCTGTCCTGACAGTTGTGCAGAAAACCATCACTGACACCCTCCATAAGGAGGGAAAGCCTCAAAAAGGTAATTGCAAAAGAGGTTGGATGTTCCCAAAGTGCTGCATCAAAGCACATTTATAGAAAGTTATGTGGAAGGGAAAAGTGTGGAAGAAAAAGGTGAACAAGCAGCAGGGATGACCGCAACCTGGAGAGGATTGTCAGGAAAAGGCCATTCAAAAGTGTTGGGGACTTTCACAAGGAGTGGACTGAGGCTGGAGTCAGTGCATCAAGAGCCAGCACACACAGACGGATCCTGGACATGGGCTTCAAGTGTCGTATTTCTCTTGTCAAGCCGCTCCTGAACAACAAACAACGTCAGAAGCGTCTTACCTGGGCTAAAGAAAAACAGACCTGGTCTGTTGCTCAGTGGTCCAAAGACCTCTTTTCTGCAGAGAACAACTTTTGCATCTCATTTGGAAACCAAGGACCCAGAGTATGGAAGAAGAATGGAGAGGCACACACTGCAAGATGCTTGAAGTCCAGTGTGAAGTTTCCACAGTCTGTGTTGATTTGGGGAGCCATGTCATCTGCTGGTGTTGGTCCACTGTGCTTCATTAAGTACAGGGTCAATGCAGCCATTTACCAGGAGATTTTGGAGCACTTCATGCTTCCTTCAGCAGACAAGCTTTATGGGGATCCTGACTTCATTTTCCAGCAGGACTTGGCACCTTCCCACACTGCCAAAAGCAACAAAACCTGGTTCAATGATCGTGGGATTACTGTGCTTGATTGGCCAGCAAACTCGCCTGACCTGAACCCATAGAGAATCTATGGGGCATTGCCAAGAGAAAGATGAGAGACATGAGACCAAACAATGCAGAAGAGCTGAAGGCCGCTATTGAAGCATCCTGGTCTTCCATAACACCTCAGCAGTGCCACAGGCTGATAGCTTCCATGCCACGCCGCATTGAGGCAGTAATTGCTGCAAAAGGGGCCCAAACCAAGTACTGAGTACATATGCATGCTTATACTTTTCAGAGGTCCGATATTGTTCTATGTACAATCCTTGTTTTATTGATTGCATGTAATATTCTAATTTTCTGAGATTGTGGATTTGGGGTTTTCATGAGCTATAAGCCATAATCATCACAATTATGACAAATCACGACTTGAACTATCTTGCTTTGCATGTAATGAGTCTCTCTCATATATTAGTTTCACTTTTTAAGTTGCATTACTGAAATAAATGAACTTTTGCACGATATTCTAATTTTCCAAGTTTCACCTGTAAATACTGTGCTTGCAAGATGCATTTTGGGGCGCCAATTAATTAGCTCACATGTGTCTCGCAAGGGCAGCACGTTCGGGTGCAGTGTGGGAAACATACACAGAACGCAACTGTGTTCCAGTGCGAACAGGCCCTCAAACTAAACTTTAGAACCCTTATGAATTAAAGGGTAACTCCACTTTCAAAAAAATTAGCAAATAAAGGAAAAAGTCCTTAAATTGTGACTCAATCAATCTTCTGTTAAAAGGGTGATGAATTGCCCAGAAGAGGGAAAGAAGAGATCCTCCACCAACTCCATACACAGCCTCTTACCAGAGGATAAGACCACAGATCATGTCCTCCTCCTATGGAATGGCGATCTTGCTTCTCTTGAGAGGTTTATTATCACTCTTAATAACAATGATAATAGGGGTATAATCCTACAGTTTAAATCGAGCAAGGAGCAGATCCATTTTTTTAATCTGAATATTACCGTTAAGGAGGGCAATCTTACTACCTCCACATACTTTAGGGACACAGACCATAATGGCTTTATAGATATCCATAACTGCCACCACCCTTCATGGTTGAACTGTACATTCCATGAGGATTATGTAAAGAGGCCACCTTTCTTAAACAGCGTTTGGAGGTCAAAGGTTATAATCCAGTTGAGTTAGACAGTATTATATTTGAGGTGAACCAACTGGATAGAAACAACATGTTATTGCCCACACAGAATGGTGAAGGTAATGATTTTTCTCATAGTTGTCCTTTTCTTACTACTTACTCTACTCAATATAATACTATCAAGAACATCCTTCATAAACATTGGAATATTCTTACAAATGACAGGGATTGGGCTATCTATAGAGGTGTCCCTTCAATAAGAATTTTTGTTTCTCCTAATGTGGGGAAACCCTCAAAAAAACCCAATATTTTTCGATCAGATGAAAGGTTTCTAGGCGTGCAGGAAGTGTGCTGTTTGCAACATCAATTGCTTGAGTAGCAGAAAGGTGGTTTCTTTTACCTCTAATCAAACTTCCAAATCTTGTGATATTACACTTTCATCTCTTGCTCTTCCAAAAATGTATTCTACCTCATCTGTTTTCCATGTGGGCTACAACATGTAGGCCCTACTGTTCGTACTATGCAAACTAGGATAAAAGAGCATATAGCTAATATATGCAAAAGGTTTCCGAACCATAGCATATCTAAATATTATATTATTTACATCATGACAAAAATTTCCTAATGGTGCACTTTTTTTTTTTTTTTTTAAGTATTGATAGGTTTACTCCCAACTGCCATGGTGGTCATACTAGGAGGGAAATCTTTAGGTTAGAGCCCCGATGGATCCATCTATTAAAGTCCTATACCCCTTTTGGTGGGACATCAATGCTTTTATTAAAAAACAGCTTATTTTCTCATGGGGTTAGTGTAACTTTTTATTTTTTTTTTTTGTATTTCTTTTTTTGGGTGTTAAAGATTTTTAAATCTCATTTTTATGTATTATTTCTCTTTTTTTATTTTCTGTATATGTGCATATTGTTTTCCAACCACAAGATGTCGCTGTACTTTGATTTCCAACCATTAAGAGGATTTATGGTCTGCAAATCAGTTAAACCTTTTTTATATTCAGATAAGGTACAGAACCACAGAGCTTATTGTTTATATATATTTTTATATTTCTGGATTTATCAAAAATAATGTTTTTATACTTTTTTGAGTTTTGGCGGTGTCATTCTTTTTTGACCCCATTTTTAAAATTTTTTACTTATTATATTTGGCCTTTTTAGCGCAAGCTCTATTAACTATAATCTTGGTCTTGTTGTTATGGATTTATTGCGATGTCAGTTTGTTTTTCTTTCTGGCTCGCTTTTTTATCTCTGTGGTTCTGTTGGTGGAGCGCCAGCATAGGTTCCTGTGCGGCTATACTGGTTCCGGTTTTGGTTACCAGCTTGTAGTTCCGGTCCGTGGAACGCAATTACGAGATGATCATTTACTCTCTGCTGCTATATATGGTGTGATGGACGCTGTAAGCCACGCCACCATCTATAATGAACCGCGTAGGTAGTTACGTCCTCTGATGTCATCACGCCACATACCGCGGCCATTTTGTCGGGTGGAAACAATAGCAAACCCATATGCTCTTTCTACCGTTTTTCTGTAAGTGCATTACTTCTATTAAACATTGAATTACCATAATACTATGCCAACAGGAGCTTTTTTCTCTTTTTCATGCAACTTAACATTCTGAGGCGGTTTATTGAATTATAACAATTGAGTTACAAACTTGGATTTGCTTTTTGGAGAAGAAGCCTTATGGTCTACATTTCCATCACCATTCTGTGGCTATTATTTTGGAGTATAACTTCTGTGGTGTGAGCTGTGGAAGTACCTCTAGGAGGAGAAGATATATGATCCTATCTTTTCAATGACCGTCTGCAAATGCTGTGTAAGACCACATGACCTGTGGTCTTATCCTCCAGTAAGAGGCTGTGTATGGTGTTAGTGGAGGATCTCTTCTTTCCCTTTTTTGGGCAATTCATCACCCTTTTTATGGAAGATTGAGTCACAATTTAAGGACTTTTTCCTTTAGGACTTTTTTTTATCTAATGTTCTAATATTTATGCCAATTATGAGAGAACACATTTAGCACTACAGTACTGGACATAAAAAAAAAAAAAAAAAAAATGTGCTTACCACTTGTTTGTCTTGCTGCATCAGAGGACAGAGAAGATCCTTATGGGAATGTTTATATACAGGAGTAACAGTAAATCGAGAGAGGGGGGAACAGGCCAGCTTCACTTCAACATTCTCTACTGCTGGAAATGGGTTTGTTTCTGTGGGGTGATTCCCTACAGACAAGGAAATTACCTAGTGGAAAGAAAAGAAGAAAAAAAAAAAAAAAAAAAAAAAAAAAAGAAAAAAAATCACACTTTTGTAAATTGGTTTAAAATTTGTTATACTTAGGCAGTAATTACAGTTTCCTACACATCACGCATATAAAAAACTAGTTTAACTGAACATGACCAAACAAATAAAAAAGGTGGCATTAGATTACTGTTCTGTACACATTTCTTGTGCATTTTTTGTCTGTCAAACTATAACCCATCTAAAATCATGTTTTGTTTTAAAAGTTTTTAAACAAAAAAAGAATCCACATGAAAGAAAAATATATATGGTACCACACATACCTGTTCACCGAGGTCCCTGCAAACTGCTCTAACCCAATGCTGGAAATGATTACGAGACGAAGGGGGATCAAGATGGAACAGGCCAGTGGTTTCTGTGTCTTCAGTAGATAGGTTCCTAAAGAATTTCAGAGGTTCGAGTACCCAAGGTTTAGGACCACCTTCAAATAAAATGTCTTTTGAGGAGCCCAAACTCACTAGAGCTACTGACTTAGGATCAATTGTCTGCAAAGTGAAAAAAAATGTATCATTTCAAATTCTTACAAACCAGATACCACGTGTCATATGCAAAGGATATATACTAAATTTTTTCAGCTTATTCCATATTTACCTGTGAGTCAATAAATCTCTCATTTAACTTCTTTTGCTGTCATCCACGTAACTATTAAACCTGAACTCCAGGAATTCACCCACTTTGTACAATGAGCTGGATTACTGGGGGGTTTAGATTCAACGAGGTGCTTGCCACCTCATGGACTTCTCTATCTACAGCAATATGTCCTCTACATACATTCAAAATTTAGAATTTACACAGGCTCTCTTCGCAATGACAAGCATGGGGTGGGGGAGCTGAATTTACATCGGTGAGGAGAGCTCGGGGAGCTGATTGGAGTGAAGAGAGACCCCCCCCTCCAAACAGCTTACAGGAACAGAGCGGAGCCTGTAACTCTGCTGGAGGTCCCTCCCTTGTCAGTTTTCTTCTCTTGTTGTCAGGAAATCTCATCAGAAGTTACTCAAGCAGAGGAAGCAGAGCAAAGAGGCAGCAGACAGAAATGACACTGAAGCCTAGTTCACACTGGCTCTGAAAGCAGGAGCCTGAGAGGCGTTTTTAATGCTCTTTAAATGCCTATGCAAATGATACTATGGGCAGCACACAGTGCTGTTCACAATGTCAAAACATTGAAGCAATAGTGTCACGTTGCTTCAAGATTGAAGCCTCACGTTGAGTCAGGAGTTTGAAGCCTTTCAACGCCTCCCATTCAAGTCTATGGTGATGCTCCTCAATTGCCCTGGCATGCATTTGCAAGGCAATTGCGGTGCGGTTGCAGAGTGTTAATAACATTACAGTTTATTTAGTGTGTGGTTTTAACGTTTGTCAAATGCTTATAAACGCTTCAAAACTGCACAGCGTTTGGGGAGCTTCTTTAACACTTGTAAAAAGACAGTCTAAAGGTCATTAACGCCTGCCTAGGGCCTATACTAAAGCTCATTAACGCCTGTCTGGCGCCTATACTAATGCTCATTAACACCGAACGCTTATACTAAAGCTATAAGAGAATTTGGTAAGAGAAATTTAGTCAAGTGTGAACAAGCCCTTAGTGCTATGGATTGAGAAAAGCAAATACTACAGAGGGACATGCCTTGTTCATATTTCATGTCTAAGGTTTACAACCAGTTTAATATACAATTTTATTTCTAATGTGCACTGGGAATATACAGTCAGGTCCATAAATATTGGGACATCGACACAATTCTAACATTTTTGGCTCTATACACCACCACAATGGATTTGAAATGAAACGAACAACATGTGATTTAACTGCAGACTGTCAGCTTTAATTGAGGGTATTTACATCCAAATCAGGTGAACGGTGTAGGAATTACAACAGTTTGCATATGTGCATCCGGCTATTCTCTCCAATCTCTGTGAGGATTGCAGTAATCTATCGGCATTGCATGTTTGTTGGCTTAACTGGGAAGACTTCAATTATCCACCTTGTCACCCAGTCAGCAGTTAACTGAAAGTCTAAAGAAAAAATAAAAAGGAAAAATTTCCGGCAAAATAAAATGGAACCAATATTACTCCTTGACAGTAGACAGAAAAAAAATTAGCTGCCTCAAGAAAATTTGAGGGAGGTATGGGGGTTGTCTGCCAGTAAGGGCAGCCCTTAGGCTGAATTTTTGATTCTGTGTCTAGTGCCCTACTTTTGCAGATGCCGCTTTAACTCAGCAGCTAAGACAATCAAGATCTCAGCTGTGTCCGTCAATGAACAGAAAATAGATTATATATTTTTTTTAGATTAATGTTTAACAAAATAAATAAAAAAAAAAAAAACAGCCAAAACATTTTAAAAATCACACATATCAATTAAAGTGCCTGTGTCTAGCAGAAAAAGTATTAATCTCAAATAATTTCTTATAAACATGGTAGCGAAGTTAGTTTCTTTTCTCCTGCACACCTGGAAAAAGGCCTACAAAAACTACCTCTCATCCCTAAACCATGAAGATTATAATTCACTATGGCTTACTGTTGGTAGGGTGACCCTAAAAGTATTCTTTTAGTGTACTCAGCACATCAAAATTTCTATTTGCCCTGCCTTACTAAATAAGTTAGATGTACAGATGAAGGAACTGGGGAGCAGTTTTTTAACAAACACTAATAAAAGCTATAAGAAGCAGTACTGCCACATCTAGGAACTTAGCAAAATGGGCTTTACCGATTGCAAGGCTACAGGTCTGACTCAGTGGATGATGTGTCAGACTTCTGCCGAGACACCTGCTTTCCCATGTAGAACAACGATGATGCTGTGCAGCTTCTGGCAGGTGACAGGCTTTTTTAAACAGTTTATAGTTGCTTTAGAAAGAAAATTAACTGTAGGACAGCGAACAGGCTGTTTTGATGCACCTGAAATGCATTTAAGCAGAGTTCAGCCTCGGTTTTTGAAGATGAAGGCTCTGATACCATCAGTCTGATCCTTGAACAAGTATGTACACCCATGGGTGTCTGAAAAGTCATCGCTCTTCAAAAATAAGGATACTCAGCTTTTGGCCCTATAGAATCTTATGAGGGCTCATGCATGAAACAGACGTGACAAATGCTCAAAAAGATTTCTACTGGACATGCATAGGTGCAGGCCGCAGCTGTGCTGTTGAGGCAAGGAAGGAGCTGGAGTGGAGAGGTTTACCTGTAAATTAGTTCAGGTAGGCTGGGGAGGGTGGCTTACTGTTAGTTTTGTACAGCTGTTTAAAGCATTTAACACAGTGAAATAAAAAAACAAAAGTACAAATAGAAAAGGACAAAGTATTAGCTCACTTTTTCAGAAAAAAAGAAAAAGGTGAACCAACACCATAATATCTTCCCCCACCCCACAAACACACACGGATCAAAACATGAAAATGTTGAACAATCAGTACCACTCTGATCAGTCCCCATGTTCCTAGGGAGAGAAGAGGAAGGACAGCATTATTTTGAATCCCCACAGGCTGCATGGACAGTAAAACTGTATCGCCCACAGAGGTAAGGGCAGGGGGACTAAGGGGGTGTACGGTGTTCAACTTTTAAACTAAAAAAAAAAAAAAAAATAAATAAAGGAGTACATACTTTAAAAAGTTTTTAATTCCAAAAAAGATTTTTATTTAAATGTTTGCAACTCTTAGTGAGCTACCAAATGTCCTAGTATGACTATGGTCAAACTATTTCTCACTTGGTCCCTTTAACCCGGTGCTGACGAATATATATATTTATTTATATATATATATATATATATATATATATATATATATATACACACACAATGTATTTATTTATTTCAACATATTTATTTACTTTCCACAACAGACACAAGGTCAAATTCTGATTTATAAAGAATATCATCAGTGACTGTCAGGCACTCCCAAACATAGGAAATAATGGTATGTAATTGATTAGTATGTATGCTAAACACTAGACGACAAAGCTCAAGCTACATGTGGACTCCTGAAATGGTACTAAAAACAAACAACTTTGTTTTGTAAAAACGTTTCATATTTGTTTTATGTACAACTTGCCAAAGGTGAAATGTGTGTAAAACAAAACAATGGTACTGCCATATATCGCTCTTCAGTCTCCTTCAGCCCAATGGCAGTTTATACAGAATAGGTTGCACAGAAAACTTTCACAAGTTTTTATTTTAATAAGACCACCGAAATTAAATTTATTGCTTTAACACTTACCTTTAGAGGTAGATAAGCAGCAATTATAATTTTGGCTTTTAAGTATATGTGACCATGAGTGTAGCTGACAAACACTGTTGTGTACCCAGCAGTCACTCCTTGTACAGTAATACCGCTACAATATTCAACACTTGGTTTGAGTCTACCTAGAACACAAAATAAGAGGTAGGTGAATATCAGTAAATTTCACAATAAAACGAATACTGTCATTGTAGAAACAACAAAAATAGGATTTTTGACTCGCCAGTAAAACCTGTTTTCTGGAGTATAGTACAGGACATTGGCTTCTTTAAAGCATTTCAACTGTGTTACATGCAGCTACCTTCGGATCACTGGACAATTGCAAAAAGAAAGGTTGCAGGGACTTCCCACTATATAATCCTTTCTACTCCTAGCTAGCCTCAGTTTTGTGACAAATAGAGAAATTATAATGAGAGAGAGAGAGAAGGTTTCTGTGCCCTGCAATGAACTCCAGGAATTTACTGGTAAGATAAAAAATTCTAATTTCCAATTCTCTGTTTGTACAGTACAAGACACGGGCTTCAATAAATCATTATGGCTGGAATTTACAAAAGCAGTTCAGCTGGGGAGTGGGCAACACAACAAATTAAAGGCTAACAGGCCCACAAAAATTAACAGGTTAACAGAGGGGGTTTATGACTGCAGTCAGCATCAGCTGAAGCTTGGACATCCACCAAGTAAAACCTTCTGAATGTGTGAACAGAAGACCAGGTGGCAGATTTGCAAAACTAAAAAAAAGCCAGATGAAGAAAAAGCCCAAAAAGCTGAAAAGTTGGAGCCTTATTCTTGGGATCATAGGCTTGAACGAGCAGTACTGAATCCACCTGGCAATAAGGGAATGTGAAGTGATTGTTGCCTACGGGGACCTTCAGGAATAACCAGAGGTAAGCTGGCCATACACATGTAGATCTTCAGACGAGAATATTTTCAAATTCTTTGAACATTCAGTGAATGGACGAATGACATTCGAAAATTGTCTTTTGCGGTTAACATTTGAGTTTAAAATGAATGTAATTTCTGAACGATAACCATATATACTAGCCGAAAATTAGTTTGATCAAAAAAAGTTTTCAGTCCTTCTTCAAATTTTCCCATCACTGCAATCGAAAACAAACATCGATTTGACCCCACATCCAAACAATGAATGGAAGTCTATTTAGGATGTTTCAGGGTAAAACTGGCTTATTTATGGATCAAAATTTGGTAGGTTCAGCAGGGACCAGCTAAATTTCAATCCATGTATGAGGACAGTGGCTGTACAGAAGCCAATCTACCGATCGCCTTCTGTACAACCAGCCTGTTGGATAAATGTTGCTCGATGAGCGCCACAGGCTTCAGCCGTTAGCACTGATCATTGTATTCTGATAGTGAGGAAGTTTCCCCACTGTCAGAATAGAATAACTCCGTGTGGATGGGGGAATTGGGTCATCTCTGTGCTCCTTAAGAGAGATGGTTGAACAATATCCTTAAGGAAGAAACCACCTTGGGAAGAGGAGAGGAATTGGGTCTCAAAACAACCTTATTTTTGTGTAGCACAAGAAAGGACTCATTACAAGGGGGCCCAACTCAAAACTCACCTCACAGATATGTTTGTAACAAGAAAGGCAAATCTGTGAATGAGTGTAGACAAAAGAATATCCTCATTAGTTTCAAAAGGTGGCTTTTCAAGAATTCAAAGAGTCCAAGCAGTCTGCCAGGGTCCAAGTACCTGAACTGCCTGGGCCAGACTCGTGCATTTATAATCAACAAAGTGCTCCTCCTCCTCGATCCTGTGGAGTAAGCGAGCAAGGACTTTTAGAGGAGGAAAGGCATATATTATATATACTAGTTTGATGTTGAACCTGGTAGGGAGGAGGTCCACATCCAGTGTCCCCCAGCTGATACAGAGGTCTTCAAACACCTTGGGATAAAAGGAACATTCTCCGGAGTCCAGACTTTGATGGCCAAGGAAGTCTACCTGCCAATTTTTCACACCTGGAATGTGTATGGCAGACAGGGCTGAAACCTGAAGTTAAACTTATGTTAGAAACAGAGCTGCTTCTCTTTGAAATGTGATACTTCGTGCTCTTTGATGGGTGATGTATGCCACTTCCGTGGAGTTGTCTGACTGAATCCTGGTTGGATAAATTGGTAGTCAAGAGGACCAGCATCGAGGGAAAAAAAACAAATTGCTCTGAGCTCCAGAATACTCATAAGGAGACAAGATTCATCTGCCAACCAAGTACCCTGCATCAAGAAGGTATTCAGGACTCCTATTTAGTCAGATAGACTTGCATTCATCATTAGTTAGACTTTCAAACTAATAGGAGGAAGTATTTCTTTGACCCCAGCATTGCACTTGTGATTCACCATACCAGGGAAAGCCTGGTTTGGGAATCAGACATAAGAGACAGTTCAGACTTTGAGCCCTCTTGTCCCATACTGACAGAATGCTGAGTTGTAATGGACTTGAGAGTGAAACTGGGCAAATGTAACTGCCTCAAAAAGAGGCAAGCATTAAAGCAGAACTAAAGGCAAATTTATTTTCCATTTTAAATAAAGGGTTATAACCCATCAGGTTTTTTTTTTTGCTATCCCATTGGGGATATTTCACCTCACTTCCTGTTCCACAGTCAGAGAAGTTAAAGGAAATCCCTCCAAAATGGGAGAATTCTGGGTTGTCACCAGAACTAGTGTCCCCACTGAGAGATTTCTCCTCTATTCTTGATCTGGGAACAACTCAAAATGTAGCATTTTCTTTCACTTTCAGTGCTAACGGTAAAACGGGACAAATACAGAAGGTGAATATCCCAAATGGCTTTAATGCGCAGTAAAGGCATCCCTGATGTCCACAAAGGCCAGAAGGTTCCCCCTGGATGGAGATGCACAAAGACTGTCCTAGTGGATTCCATGTGGAATTCTGGCACCCAGAGAAAAAATGCCCCTTTTGGCTAGGGATTTTTTGATGCACTTTACCGCATTCCAGTACAGTTCTGTGCAGAAAAAATGCAGCATGTTCTACTTTTTTTTTCTGCAACTGGAACGCACTGGAACTGCAAGCAATGATGTGAACTATGACACTAGCAACAATATAACCTACTTTCTGTGCGTTTTGGATGCAGAAAAGAAGCAACTGAAATGCACGTAGTGCGAATTGGCCCTTAGAAAGGGTTTCCAGCTATTAATCCATAGGGTCTTTTAACAACTTGTCTACTGGGACTGACTTGCACCCACAAGCAAGCTTATGATAAACTTTACCTGTAGGTACAAGGAATATCTCAAAGTCGTGCATCGTTTAGGAGTAAATTCTGCAGCCAGAGACATCACCGATGCACGCACACTGTGCTCTAGAGGGACAGCATACTGCATATGCTGTTCCTTCAGAGCTCTGTGCTGCGGCCATGACTCCTGTGTGCATGCATAGAAGTAATTTCATCGCGGCTCAAGCGTTTCAAACAGCCGGTACCTGTCAGTGGTGACAGTGTGCCACCAGAGGGCTTCATTTTCAGGCAAGGCTTTCATAATATGCTAGTATGAGATGCATACTAGCACATTATGCTCTCAACTTGCAGGGAAAGGATTTGTTTTTTTTTTAATGCAGACTTTACTATAGCTTTAATTTTTCAGGCACGTTAAAATCTGCATAGTTTTCCAAAAAACTACTTGAAACCCCCATACAATTATATATTTTCTGAACATAAAGGCCCTGCAGAATAAAGTGGTGGCAGATAATTTTTTTGTATTGCATGGTAGTTGCACAACTATTTATCAGAAGCATATTTTTTTTTTTTTTTTTTTTTTTTTTTTTTTCTTTAGGAAAGATGGGAGTTGCGCTGACTAAACAGATACCCCAAATGTCAAGACTTAAAACTGCATGCACCCATGAAATGGCAAAAAACTATGGTACGCAGAAATGGTCTATAGGCGATGTTTTAAAAGTCTTTACGGGTTATCAGTTTAGCGTTATCTGTGAATTATGTCTTTGCAGGCTATGAATTTAAGTTAACCATGAATTAGGGCACTAGAAATACTGCTACATTTGTAGGAATACCTCACGTGGGTACAATTTCCATTTCCATAAAAAAATATGTGCCCTTGTGCGTGTGCAAGTTGACAGGATAGATAAGAGTTGACAGAAAAAAATAGATTGTAGATTCTTTTCCAATGCTATGTTATTTAGGACAGGACATACCTGGCAGGATCTTGAATATTCCAGGAGTCTCCATTTCCACAGACAAGTCAAAGTGCGAGCAGTCACTCAATGACACTACTTCATTATCACCATTGAGAAGGCCAAATATCCTTAGAGGCAGCTCCAGACTGTTTCCTAAACGGGCTTCAACTGGACAAGGAGTAAATTCCATGCCAGTGGGTTCAATGACAAACACCTAAAATTTAAAATATGTGTCTTAATATAATGTGAAAGAAGAGAGTTGCTATTGTTGAAAGCATCAAGTTTCAGGCTGCCAATCGGATTTCCTTCCTTTAATTTAAAGGGATTCTCACTTTTTCAATTTAATTCTTTTACTAGGCTACCCTTCAACTAAATATTCACCTTCACAGTACTCCCCTGCCACTCCCTCCATCACAGCTACCATCAAATACTCAGAGTAAGCTCAGTGTTGCTAGATGGTTACACACAATGGACAATGTCTTCCCCTCCATCATGTGATATTGTTCAGTCCTGGAAATTGGCTGAACGTGGCCCCGTTCCCACAAGAATCAGGCATTTTTGCCATAACTGCAACACAAGAAGAAGGAGCGGGGGGGGGGGGGGGGGGGGGGGGGGAGTGTAGTGATTTGAAGAGGAGTATAAGTGGGTCAGGAAGAAGGCTAGAAAGAGGTTCAGTCTCACTGCTCTGAATGAGCAAAGCAAGACTCCATAAGTCACTGCCTCAAAACAAATATTCAGATAGGTCTATCTTTAATTATTGCATACTTTTCCATATCCGCAATTCAAAGTAAATAAAGCAAGAGGCAGCCAGAAATTGTTAGAAGGCAGCTAGCATTGGCAGGGTGACTGGTCTTGTATCCACCCACTACCTTTAGGTTTTCTGAAAGCAGTCTGTAGTGGATGGGTTTGCTAGGTTCCTCCCACAGCTATGCTTTCTACACAGACTAGGTGAAGCACAGTGATAAGGTCACTGATACATTATTAGAGGTAATAACTGGGTTTTTAAAAGGCATTAGGTGCACACAAAGTGGATTTATATTGGAGGATTATATTTAAATAGAAAGTTCCACAGCCCAGAGTTCAGTTTTAACAGATTTGGGCATAAAAATATTTATACAAATATGTACAATCCAATCTATGTATTGTTTGGGGACATGAGAAAAATGTACACACTACCCCATATGCATGCAGATGTGGTTATTGCACAACAGGATATTCTATCTGAAGAATATCCAAGTGGAGAGTAAGACACACACACACAAAATGTTACTTCTCTTTACCAAAAATCAACATATACATGTAAATAGAACAGAGTTAGCTGAAAAAGGATGTAATGCAATCTGTAACTCACCTTCATCTCTCCAAAATGTAAAGAATTTTGCACATCACGAGCCCGTATAACACTAACACCAATGTCATCTCCAGTTGTCATTAACCCTTTGACAGTTACTGTAGCCACAGCATTATTGGATGAGGACCAAGTGAAATTCCCACTTCCACCTTGTACCTTGAAAGAACAATTACAGGTGTATTCATAGTTATACATTAGTTAAATAGATATAATGAAATTATTTAATTTACCAATTACAAAAAAAATTTCAAAACCCTGTTCTGTAAAAACATATTTACATATGGAATTGTGCAATATAAAGCTTCTAAAATCAGAGCCTTTTTATTTTCTTGACTTGTTTATACACAGTCCACATACTACAACTAAATGCATCATGAATTTTTAACAACACAATTAAAATTCCTGAAACAGGTCTACTGAAGAGCACTTCTATTACCTGTATTATGTACTGATAAGCTCCTGGCTTGGGCTGCCAGGGAAAAGTAAGAATTTTGGGTGAAAGTGTAATCGGAGTATAGATTTCCACCTCTTGCTGGTTCCTCACTGGGTTTGCCAGCACATGAACACCTCCATCCTGCAAAAAAAATACATTATAATGTTATGCTCTAATCAGACATATTCTGTTGTACCTTAACCCCTTGCCCCCCCCCCCTCTCCTGACCAGGCCATTTTTTGTGTTACAGCGCTGCGTTACTTTAACTGACAATTGCGCAGTCATGCAACGCTGCACCCAACTTAAATGTACTAAATTTATTCTGCTCCATGTCTGTTAAAAAAAAAAAAAAACAAAAACAAAAAAAAACCCCAATACATGTAAATTAATTGGTTTACGTGAAAGGTATAGCATTTACAAATGGCGGTATAGATACTGGAATTTTTTATTCATAGCAGGACTGCGGCGGGCATTCTGACATTGGGGGAAACGGATTTGGCGTCACTGAAATCCCCAGTGACACCAATACAGTGATCAGTGCTAAAAAAAAAAAAAAAAAAAAAAAAACACTGACACTGTACCAAGGTCATTGGGTGGGAAGGGGTTAACATGAGGGGCGATCAAAGGGTTAACTATGTGCTGGGTGTGTTTTACTTGTGTCTGTGCCCATGTGCTTCACTGTAATCACACTGCTTTGCATGGCTGTGCACAGCAATCCAAAGCAGTGTGCAGGAGCTGACAGGGAGAACTGTTTTCTTTACATACAGTTCTACTCCCCGTCAGAGATGCTCGGCAATCACCGGGCACTGGCGAGTAATCACTGGCGGGGACCCAGTTATTGATAGCCATGGCTGCAAACAATGTCACGGGTAGGGCGCGTGCCCCCTATCCGGAAATGCAAAATCATGTATATATACGTGATTTTGCGCACCCGTGCCGCCCTGTAGCAGTATATCTGCTATAGGGCGGTCGGGAAGCAGCTAAACAGGACTCTTGTGTTTGTCTTTTTTCCACATGCAAACTTACTTAAAGTAACCTTGATAAAAAATGGAATGTTACCAAAAAAAAGGAAAATTACCCAAATACCCCTGTACATCAAGCTTTCTTACAATCAAGTTATTTTAAAGCGGAAATCCAAGCAGACAAAAAAAAAAAAGGCACAAATCAATGCTGCTCTTTGTCCATCAGTCAATTAATGCATTTATTGCAAGCAGTACAACTACCTTAATTTTACTTGGAATCAGTCTCCTGCAGCCTCTGTAAAGCTCAGTTAACTGGGAGAAGTAGAAGCAGTACAAGGAGCCAAGCAGCTGTGCTCACAACATGCTGATAGGATAAGAGAGACGGAGTGACAGGCAAATCAATCTGCTGCTTTTCCTTCTGCTGTCCATTCACAATGTACTGTAGGTCTCATTATTAATTTACTGCAACTTAGAAAAATTAGGTGTCCAGTCTTGCCAGATAGGATGGTGCTATATGGCAGAGCTATGTAAATCCCAGGACTGGATGGACAAAAATGCATATTCTTTGCCAGTAAAACCAATCCATTATATTTAGTTAGCAGTTTGCCTGGAGTTTAAATATAAATTAACAGGCTACTGAATAGAAAATAAATTACATGCATAAACAAGAAAAAAAACTGAGCATCAGGAACAGAGTTGATCATAGAAAACATTAACACCCATGCTTTGCTGTATTCACTTCTACACATCTTAACTTAAATATATAGTGGCAATGTCCTTTTAATAGCCCACACTGACCATACTTTTGGGAAATGCATGACAGGGCACTGGACAAACATTGAAGCACAATCTTTAAAGACTTCTACCCTTTGTGTATTGTTGTTCACATTATCATATCAAGGTGGAATCCATATCATATGCTAGTCTCCAATAGTTTATCTAATGAACGCCAGTTAATCCACAACTCAATACAACTACTATAGATAAAAATTATACAAAACTGGAAGACCTTTTTTTCTTGAAAGGAGCATAATAATTTACAATGTCTTTAATTTGATTATTTTAGATTAAACATTAAAACTAGGTGGTGTTTTCAGTGATCCCCTTGTGTCATTTTTTTCTAGTTTTTTTTCCTTTCCCTTCTACTTTTAGTTAGTGCCTGTGTATTATCTAATAGGGAGTGTATCATTAAATTTAAAAACAAATTCTCCCTTTTATGTTTTCCACAAAACAAAGTACAAAATAAAGAACATAACCTTTCAGACAGTACCACACATCTCCACTGTGTAATTTGTTAGGAAGCCACTCAAACTGCAGAAATGATTTTCTAAGAAAAACAGATATCCCTATCTGCCTGTGAACAACAGGGCCCTCTCATCCCACAATGTCCCTTTGAATAATTCTAGGGGCCATTACTTATCACTTTTGGCAGACCAGAAAAACACAGTAGTTTTCATAACCAAAAAGGTGTTAACATATATTGTTCTTCTCTGAAATTAAAAAATACTAGTATACACAACTAGTCACACTTACTTCATCTACCATACATGTCAAAGCTGCGTCAATTACTGTCTGACCACTTTTCACAGCTTTCACATGATGGTACGACCCATTCAGCGAGCTTTCCAGAACCTCAAAGTATTCCTTTGGTATCTTGGCTTCAATACGTATATTCTGAAATTAAACAGATTTACTTACAGACCATGAATGTTATCAATGAAATCAAAATGTGAAGCTGTAATTATCAGATAACTTCCAGTTAGCCTCTGTTAACTTTTAAAGATCTAATGCTTACCATATTTTCCGGCGTGTAAGACGACCCCCTACTTTTCCTGTCAAAATATAGGGTTTGGGCTATACTCACCATATAAGACTACCCCTCCCTGTCTCCAAGACGATCCGAGCAGTACACAGGTATATGCCAAAATATACTGACTACCCCATCATACAGTGTTTTTTTTTATTTTTAGTGTATACCATATAATTATGAGTCATCATTCAATCAACAGCTTTAAATCAAATTTTACATTGTAGGAAGCCTTTAATTTGAGCTTCACCCCCAGGTTCCTGCTTTCCAAACTGATTGCAGGGAAATCCGAGGATACGTAAACCTTTCTCAGCATATCTGGCGTGAATTTCTACAAGCTGAGTGTAGTTTACAGGTGTTTTTCCTCATTTAGATGCTACATTAACAATGATACAGACATAGCCCCTGCATTTCTCCAGGGAAACTACATTGCCATCAATGTCTGGAGCAGAGAATTCATAAATACCAGTAATCTTCGCATTCTTCCGGTCATCCACCTGGGCACAAATGGCTCTCCCGCGCAGCACTCCCGTCGCAGCCGCTACTCGGGTGTAGCAGCAAGATGAGTATGCCCATGAAAATGTGTATCCCTGACGCTTCTGCACAAGTCACAGTTTCAGTCACGATCAATCGAGTACTCAACTGCTACATCTGACCTTGCTGCCGAAAACCGTGAGATGCGCAGAAGCGTCAGGGATACACATCTTCATGGGCATACTCATCTTGCCGCTACTCCAGCTCGGAAGTCCCAGTACAGTAAGTTTCAGCACGACACCCGGCGTATAAGATGACCCCCGACTTTTCAGAAGATTTCCATGGGTTAAAAAGTCGTCTTATACGCCGGAAAATACGGACTTTTTTCTTCTTTTCTTTGTCAATAGCACAAGAATGTAAAATACAAGTCCAGAAGTGCATGATTTAATAAATGAATCAGGTTAAAACTGTCACTAAACCCAGGACCCTGCATTCATTATATCTGGTCTCCCACAGTACACAGAAGTGCAATTATTTAAGTAAATATAAGCTGCTAAATACCTTTTCTCATCAGTATATAGCAGTCTTGTGACTTCTATCAGTGTTCGGCCGTGCACTGGTTAATCTTGTAGGAAGTTTTAATTCTCTTCTGACTGTCCTATGAGGCTGCATGACCCTTGACCCTCTGCCTGGACAGTTCTAATCACATGCACCTCCCAAAAAAAAAAACCTCTAGCAATACACACCAAACTGAGCATGTGCAGAGTGACTCCTAGAGTTCTGTACAATCAGCAGATGCACTGGGACAGTAGAAGAAGGGGAGGATTAGAGAAGACAGGATCAAACAACCTCATCACACAATGCGGAGGATTAACCCCCAAGTTTTCACATTGAGTATAACAAGCATGTTTTACAGCATATACAGATGGATTTTACTGTTGTGGGTTTAGTAACACTTTAAGGATGGGTTACAACAGCTGTATGTACCCTTTATTTGCACAGAAAAAAATCCAAAATGCTGTAAATACAAGAAAGCATACACAAACAACACATAGTAAAATAGGATTTTTGTACTCAACGTAAAATCCTTTTCAATGCATCTTAATCACTTAAACTCCGGAAACTTTTACCCCCTTCATGACCAGGACATTTTTGCTATTCAGCACTGTGCTGACAATTGCGTGGTCATGCAACACTGTACGCAAATTAAATGTATAGAATTTTTTTCACACAAACAGGGCTTTCTTTGGTGATATTTGATCACCAGTGCGTTTTTTTTAAACCTTATCATATAAACAAAAAAAGGCCAAACAAAATGTTTTCACTTTTTGCAGTTACAAAACAAAAATCCCAATAAGTGTATATTAAATTGGTTTGTGTAAAATTTATAGCATCTACAAACTATGGGATATATCAGGTTTTATTTTTTTTTTTTTATTACACTTTGATTGCTGATTCAACAAGAATCATTGTGCTAGCACTGCTTTGAACTGTCATGAATGAGTTTCAGGACAGCTGTGATTACCAGTGATCTGTGATTGGCCACAGTTAATCACATGGTACAGGGTGTTAGCTGTGAGCCAATCACAGCTCACTAGTATCAGAAGCGGAGCTGTTATGAATTAAATTAATTCATAACAGCTTTGTTGACATGAGATAACATGATCCCAGGCCACTCAAAGCGACCCGGTCCAAAAGCTGCAATCTGTGCAACCACCTTAACCCGAGCAGGCAAAATGGCGTACATGCATGTGCTGAACATGCGATCGTGCGTTTTCACAATTTCACAAATCGTGGGGAGAACCACAGCAATTCTGCCTGTGATTTGAAATGTCCTAATGTGAATGGAGCCTGAAGAGCGTTAAGTTTTTTTCTGCCCGAAATCTCCTCAAAAACACGATTGTGAAGGGTTTTTTTTCCTGCATCTAAACATTCCTCTGAAAATATGCCTGTAAACCCCCTAATGTGCACGGGCACAGAGGCTAACAGAGCTGCTTCTACAGGCTGGAAAAAAAAAAAACAACAACAAAATGCCTACATTAGCAGAGTGCATGGACCCTTAATCTTTCTCATCCATTGAGAACACGGTCTTAAAGTGTTACTAAATCCACAACAGTAAAATCAGTCTGTATATGCAGTAAAGCATGCTTGTTATACTCACTGTGGAACATAAGGAGTTAATCCTCTGCATTGTGCAAAGAGGCCATTTGGTCCCATTTTCCCTGCCTCTCCTCTTGTTCAAATATCCACCCAATAAGACAGACTAAACCCGTAGTCACATGCACATGCTCAGTTTGGTGTGTATTGCTAGAGAGGTTTTTTTTTTCTTGGGAGAGTGCATGTGATCAGCACAGGGCCAATCAGCACTCTCCAGACAGAGGTCAGGGGTTTTGCATCCTCCTAGAGCAGAAAGAAAAAATTCCTCCTACAAACTTTAACCAGTGCTCAGCTGAAGTCACAAGACTGCTCTAACTGCTGATGAGAAAAGGTATTTAGCAGTTTATATTTACTAAAATAATTGCATTTCCATGTAGTGTGTACTGTGGGAGACCAGATATAGTGAATGCAGGGTCCTGAGTTTAGTACAGGGTCCTGGGTTTAGTAACACTTTAAACCTTCAGGATATCCAAAATTAGTCCAACTGAATGAAAAAACATAGCAAAAAATGCTAAAGGACCCAAGATAAACAGAAAACTGCGAACTGCCATAAGCCACCTGAAGGACTAAATCTAAATTGGCGATCAAATGAGGCAGCAACATCCACCTAGTGGAACTTAGAGAAGACCAAGTGTCAGCCTCATAAATTTGAGAAACAAATGCTTAAAATAGGTGTAACCTGATCTTTGAGACCAACATCTTGAATGATGGTCTGTTCACAGCATGTACAGATGGTGGAGTGAGAAGCTGGATCACCCTTACAGGGCCCACGATTACTAAAAAAAGGAATCTGTCTTCCTAAAAGAAGCAGTGGCTGTCCTGGTTGAGGTGATAGGCAGAAACTACCTTAGGTAAGAAGGACATCCTGGGCCTCAACACCACCTTCTCCCTATGCAGAAACAAATGGTTTCTGGAAAGACAAGGCTGCCACTTCAAACACTTTTCTTGCAAATTAAGAAATACCATCTTGTGGGTGAGAGTAATTTCCAATGATTTAAAACAGCAGTTTCTGGCGCACAGAAAGAACTACATAGAGGAGCTATATGGGATACCTGTTGTACAAATATAGTCTTAAACAATGAGAGGTCAATGGCCTTTGAAAACTGAACAGAAAGGGTAAAAACCTGATCCCTGATGGATCTGAAAACCAAATGCAGATCAAGACCCAGCTGCAAGAAGCAGAGAACTCATCCTACTGAGAAATTCCAGGGGTGGAAAGACAGAGAATCACACCAAGTGAAATATGCCTTCCATGTCTGATACCAGAACAGCAAGTAAAAGATTTCCTATGTACAGATGTATCGGTCTGTCCAAAGACCAAATCAACTTGTCTCACGAAAACAATGTTCAGCTGCAGAGGCTTGGAGCGAAACTGGGCTGCTACTAGCAGACCTATGATTACCATGCAAGAGTGGAAAGTCCGAAAGCTACTAGATTACAGAATTTGAATCTTAGACCAGAGTCCCTAAAGGTCTCCAAAGACAGTCTGTACCATCCACCTGTCATTTGTGCCAAATTCAAAACGTTTACAGATATTGCTTTGGTCTAACATTACCAGTCAAAAGCTATCAGCGGTCAAGGACTGGATTCCATATGCAGGTATCATGACCTTGAACCTGTAAAGTACTCTGTGACTGACTGCATGCATAGCACCAAGTACCAAGGTGAGTGCCTATGCAACATCCATTGCTGAACATTAGAGACTGTCCCCACTGCATGGAGTCCAGGTACAGCACCCAAGGGTTACCGAGGTTGGGCCAATATGGACGCACTATTTCTATTTGTTACATTAGAAGGCAATGGAAAGTTGAAGAATTCGAAAATAATAATAATAAAAAAAAAAAAGACAAAAGTGGTTAAGTGAAGAGTGATTTCCCTGTGAAGGGAGAAGAGGTCCATGACCTTAAAACAGTAGCAATAAAAACGGAGGGCTCAGAGTGAAGTAGGGCCATAGTTAAGGATCCCGGGGGGCATGTCCTTGAAAACTTTGCTAATGTTTAGTCACCTAGCCTTTAACCTCGTAACCTATATTAACCTTGTAACCTATAACTATACTGTACAATTAATTAATACACCTTTTTTGAATCTATACTCACATCAGATAAATAGACCTTGTTGCTGGACTTGTCATATATATCAATAGTTATTTCATAGTATCTTCCAGTTTCAAGTACCCATTGATCTCCAGGATGTACAGTAAATCCTGAAATATTAAAGAAAAAATTACCCAATTTCAACAAACCTTTTAAAACCTGTCCAGGTACACAAGTAGTAGGCAATAACAAAAGTTAGAACACTGAATTTATAAGTACAAATAGCCTGGATAATGTTTCAAGTTAAGCTTTTGACTGGCCACAGCACAACATCAACAGATATACAACATTTCCATTAAAATAATGGACTTTTACAGTACCATGCCCTACTGTTTTTATAAAAAGATAGTTTCTATTAGAATCATTTAAAAGATGAACATGCATAGACCAAAAAGACCATCCCAGTGCCAGATCTAAGTTACATAGAAGGAAGTTCATACCCATTAAGACACATACATTTGCAACACAACTATGATGGTACTGGATAGTACATGAAGACCGAAGGGGGATGGGGGGGGAAGGGGGACTGTGAGAAAGTGATGTAAGCTTCAAACCATTCTTCGAGGTTTAAAATACAGGTTCTTGCTAAAGATGGCATTATGTGTATTCCAGTACTACAAATAGTATTATGTGATTGGATTTGTGACTATTCCCTACACTGCAAGGAATCGATGGCAAACCAGGGACCAATGGCTGTATTGGACCCCATCACCGTTTGTGTTACAACTGGCGTATATTATGTCCTTGTATACTGGCATGTTATACAGTTAGCATATATAGAGATATCATTTCTCTTATGGAACAACTACACTGTGCCTATTGGTAGATAGATGTAAACATATGGAATGTCACCCTGTTTATTGTACTTAGTTATCAGGATAACTACATGTCAGAACCGGATGACCTCCCACCACATTATTCCCACAAGGACTGTATTGATTGGGACATTTGCTTTATCCAACAAAAGGGAGGAACTCCCATGAGTATACTCTGCATGAGAATTTGACTGTTGCCATTGTTCAGAAGGCTTTGAGCCTTCGTTTTGAATATACCCAGCGAATCGACACAGGCAAGCTGAACTTTATTGTGCCTATACTAGTACTGGATGGGCAGCTTATGGCCCACTCTACAGCAAGGATGTTGTTCTGGCTGTCTGTGATCTCAGGAGCTAGTTTTGAGACCCCAAGGACTGTTGTACATGAATCTATCAAAAGAGACATTACTCCACCACCTAAGAGAAATCCTTCACATTTGCAATGAGGCACACATCTTTGGATGCTTGTGTTGAATTCAAGATAAAACAGCATGCCCCATACTATATCCTTAACCTAATGAGTTTCCTTTTTTGCAGCAAATTACATAACACTGGAGTATCTTTTTAGCCTTGGGAGTGAAGAATGGCTAATATATTTGCTAAGCTACAGTATTCATGTCAACGATATATGATCAGGATAGACTGGATTTATATCCAGATTGGTCACACTATATCTTTTCAACAGGTCTAGACACATATGTACACAAATTGATAAATGCTGAGGTTATGAGTGGTCTGAATCTTTGAGTCTAGCAAGTAAAGTTTTGGGTGGTGTATTAAAGAATGCAGGGGTGTGGCACGCTGGAATGCAGCTGTAAGCCTGAAAGGCAGACCCAGAGGTAAATTACTTCATTGTTTGCGGAGAGAGGTACAAATAGAAGACAGTCTATCTACT